GATCAGGTGCCCATTGTGCCATGGGAATGTGCATGGATCAGGTGCCCATTGTGCCATGGGAATGTGCGGGGCCCCAGAGAAAAAGGAGGCCATCGCTGGGTGGGCGGACAGCTCCCGGGAAGGTCGGGGAGAAGTGAGTGCAGCCGAAAGATAGGCAGAAACCCTTCTGAATAAGGTGTGAGTTGAGGAGGGGCCGCACACAAAACACTGGTTACATGATCAATTGAACATAAGTAAAAGAAAAACGCTTCAGAGAGGTCATAAAGGGAATTTTTCCACTGACTASATGACATGAACCTCACAGAAAGACACAGAAAGGATTGCTAAAATGCTTAAGCTTCCAGTAGAAATAATTTCTGTGAATATAAAATTGCTTACAAAGGAAGATTTTAGTTTTAGTTCTAATTAAATAAAGGAGGAAAAAAAATTGATGCAAGAGAGGAAATTTAATGGAYACTTTTAAAGTTTAATCAAGTTTATCTATTTTTGTCAGTAACTTTTTTTTCCTGACATTCGGAATATCCTACAGTTTCTTCTGAAATCATTAGAAGTGTTTTTGTCCCCAAAACTACCTACAGAATAGAAAGTATGTTAAATATTTTTCCTTCCACGATAAAGTGTAATTTTTCAAAACTGTTTTGATCTCAAATGAAATAGATGATCAAACACTGGACATCTTAAATAACGTATAAAAATAAGTTTCAAATTGGGATGAATGTTGTAATTTCAAGGAAAATAATTTTGAGCAGTCAAATTTGATGCTTAGAATTGGAATTTCAGGCAATATTTTCAGTATGAATAGTGCATAGGTTTTTCACAACCAGTGTGGAATTATGAATTTTAAAGGAAAAGTCTTTTCTGAAAATTGACTTGAATTTGTTTTGTTGTATATTTGCCTTAGAGAGATGTTGGGTGATTGTTTTAGCCATTTTGATGCTTTTCCCAACCATTCTTTTGTATAATACTGTTTGAAACTGATTGCTTTTCACAAACACCGATAATTTCCTGCCAKCAAAGGGTTTTGGTGAAGCAGCTCCATATGCCTCTTGCTGCTTTATTAATCTGACTATTGCAGGTTTGCATCAGTTCAGTATTTCTCCTCGATCACACCCAAGCACAATTGTCAGGTTACTGTTSTCACCTTTCTCCCATCTTTGTTCTCCCTTATCCTCAGTTCCCAGGCACTGAGCTCAGGCATCAGCAGACCCTGGTGATAAAAATGTGTGTTTTATTTGTCCCAAGGGGTGCAATAAAAAAATCCCTAACATTTGCCACGGTTCTGATCAGGATGAGATGGAAAATCTGTTTACGGAAGATTAGAGAGCCAAATCAGGCGTGTTTKCTGCCATGACCTGCTCAAACCTGGTGTGTGAATTCCTCCCGTGTGGCTGTGCTTCACTATCTCCTGTTGTGAGCCAGGACCTGATTCAGCAAGAAATGTCATTGTTTTCCAGAGCGAGAGTTGGGACAAGAATCCACAACACCCTGACATGTTTAAATGTTCTTATGTCTTCTGCCAGCAAGTGTTCAACTCCCAATCTGTTAGGAACTGAGTTAATTTTCATGTTTCTAGTCAATAGCTGATGGCAAATTATCATGGTCTCCTGTTCCTCTTCCTTCAGTGAATTTAATTGTGCATCTTCTGGCACAAATTTTCTGATGAGTTGAGAGGGTTGTGCCAGTGTGACTATGAAAACAGCAGGTGCTTGGTAGCTGTATCAGTGGTGTACGTGTGAAAATGTACATTGTCCACAGGTTCCTGTTTGCATTTAGAAAAGCAGAAAACCCGTGTACTAAAGCCCCTGTTGATGTGCCACACGGATGTGTGCTTAAAGATTTGTTCTCCTRGCACAGGTCACTCCAGACAGTTGCAATGTGCTGCCACTAAATGCCATTGCATAGATAGCCAGGTTAGTATTACTGCCTTTATGTCTTATCTTGATTTTTAAATAATGATTTCTTGTTTTGAAAATGCTTGCAAGTATGTGTCAATTGCCACCTTTTAGAAAATACCTATACCCATTTCAGAAGCAATTTTAAACTTTGGGTTTGTTTTATTTGCAGGTGCATAGAACAAGATCTGCACTTCATTGACAGCTAGAATGACTCTGCTTGACCTGGAACCAGACACGATGAACAAAACTTGCCCAGAATTTGTTGTTGACCTAAATGAGCATGTGGGAGACTTCAGGGTAGAATSAGCAAAATGGGAAACATTTTGCACAATGCAAGAGTTCCCCCTGTGAGGGTGAGCCCATGTTGATTTCACCACATTCTGACTCTTCAAAAATCATYGGTTTACTGCTTGAGAAGCTCAGCAAAGCAGTTCTGTGTTCACTTTAGAAATCCCTCAGACAMTTGTCTAACACAGAAGACAACATGGATATTAGAAATGTAATTAAATCCCAGGGAACTTTTTCATGCCCRAGGGATTTGTCAGAGATTGGTGATGACCTACTTCATTTTAATGGTGTGTTTGGTGTCACTTCTGGAAGAGCAGAGCAATACTGCAGCAGACAGGAACCTTCCCACCCCACATTTGTAACCACTTGTCACACAGGCAACTGCTGCCCTAACATCCAAGACTCTGGATCTCCTCAGTCTCTGACAGATATCCAGGAGTGTAAAAAGACTAGGCTGGACAGACCTCTAACCATGAATTCCCTGCTTGGTGAGCAGACAGATACTTCCATAGGAAATCACACTGATTTTGTAAAAGATGATTCTGAAAATTCTGCTGCTCTTCTGAAGATTTATGCAGAGCAAGTTCCGAGTGTAAGTGATGACTTTTCTGATGATGACCTGGAGTACTTTGAATGCTCAGATGTGCTTACAGCGTATGAAGATGAAATCTGGAAAAAGAAATTACAATTTTTATTAGAAAGTGATGATGAAGATGATCTAAAACTGAGTAAAGATTGTGATGGGTGTGCTTACTTCCTCAGTGAAATGCCTTRTGTGTTCCAAGTGTCAGATAACACTACGCCTATGGATACCCCCATTGGCTTCTGCGAGCATCAGTCAAAAATCAAAGGAGTAAACGTAAGGAGAGACCCCTCTATGTACAGCCAGTCAGCTCTGCAGACAGAGATGACTCTCACTGTTGGACACCACCGAGATAAAAGTACCATTTTGGAAGACAAAGAGAAGAATCAAGTGCCTGTTTCTTCTGCAGCCATTGGAAATGAACATCCCAGAAGTGAAGAAGAGACTGATGAAAGTGGCCACCCGGCTGGAGGTGCCTCAATGGACAAACCAAAGCCCATGGACATTGTCCCTGCCCAGGTAGACTCCTCTGCCAGTGGCATAAGTGCTGCTTGCACAGATCAGGCTGCGGGGACAATGACAGAAACCAGCACGGACGGGGACGTGCTAGGGAAAAGCTCACTGCTGCTGGAGGAGGGGAGAAGGAATGTGCCAGAGGAAAATGCACGGCATGCTGTCTGTACCTTAACAGAAAGTCTGAGGAGGAACCTTTTCAAGCTGTTAAACCCTATAGAACTTTGCAGATATGTAAGTACTATAGGACAGTCTTTGCAGGCTGCAGCCGAGGGTAAGGAATCCAGAGCTCTGTCTCCCAGTCAGGAAGGTGTCCTTTCAGCACACATTCCCGAGGAGACAGAAAGCTTGCSAATGCAGGCTGGTCTGTGTGCAATAGAAGAGGCAGATAAAGACTGGCACTGGGAAGGGAAAAGAASTCGGGGCCTGTCTGAGCAAAACCAGATGCTAGATGAGAACATCTCACTTGAGGTAAGTAACGGGTTTATCATGTAACACAAAGAGCTGCTCTGCTGATTTCAATGCAATTTATTCCTGCTTGGTACAAAATAATGGAAAATTGAAATTACTTTGAAAGATACTATTTATGTACTTCTGAATGACAGCTACGGCTGGGAGGGAAATCTGGGTTTGAAAAAGGCCCAAGTAAAGCCTAAGCTGTTCTAATTATAGAGTGAGCTGATAATGGTGAGAGGCACTAATGGGCCTCTGGACAGCTGGATAGGGAAATCTGATATGGAGGCTATTGCACAGGTCTTAGCAAAGTAGTGCTGCTTTCAACCCAGAAAGTTTCTCAAATGCCTGTTGTGAGCAGAGAATGCTTTGATTTACTTTCTTTTCAGTCTATACTCAACAAACAAAACAGTCCTCTGTGGTGATRGAAACCTAAACCAAATCAACAGGGCTTTGCTCTGGATTTATGACAATGAGGGGAATTCCATGCACAGAGTTCATGTTACAGAGGTGAATGGATTTTTAAAATCTCTGGGATTTTTAAAAATAAAACAATGAAAGAGTTGGAGTGCCAGTTGAAATGTACAAACCAATTAAAAGATAAAAACCCCATGGTACTCTCCCATGTACTTGCATATTTTATTCTGTTGGTAGAAAATCAGCTGGGRAAATCAGTTGTACAGACTGGTGTGATGCTCTACCAGTTTTCTTAAGTGGGAAAATTGGATCATTATTTTTATTTCACATAGTAAAGATGCAAGATATATGAATACTATTAAATAATGAATAATCTTATTATCACCAGCTTTTCTGATTTGAAGATGTGTAGCTAATTGCACAAAAAAAAAACCCCCATGTATCACAACCCAAGCCTTTTCCAGTTGTATATGCTTTTTTTTCATCTGATTATTTGGGAAAAATGTCTCCCAGCTCTGGGTATAGCATCACAGCACTATGATTTTAATCTCACAACTGGGGTGTCTTCAGCAGTCAAAAATCACTGAATTCTTCTGCCTGCAAAATGTTCATACATTTCTTTGGTTTTATAGTACATAAAATTCCAATCCCATTTGAGGAGCACATGATGTCTTTATGATAGGGAATACCTCTCACTGGAATCAGCCTACTCAAAGCTTCTTGACAGGGTGCATGGCTGTGGTTTTCCAGAGGCTTTGTTTGGTTGGAGTTTTTGGTTTTTKTTCCCTCAAGTGCAGTGCAATAGTTTAAATCCCAGAAGCCTCTTAGCCAAGAGCAGCTGTCACGTTCCTGGCATAAATTTCAGAGTGGCCAGTTAGATTCTTGCTATGTGTAGTCAGTATGTATTCCTTCTGTCTGCATGTCCAYGGTCAAAATTTTACATTAGATAAAAAATGAGTGCTGGTGTACACAAAAGGCGAGAGCCAGGCACAAACCAAACCCCTGGTTTTAAACGTGTCTATGATGGGGTAGGTGTAGGTTCAAAATTACATGGTCTTGAAAATGAGCCAAAGAAAAGCATCCCACCTGAATATTGTTCTGTGTAGCACAAGAAAARTGTGGACAGCTTCTCACAGCATGCWTATCRTAAGCTARAAACTCCTGAAAATTCTGCCTGTGTAATCTAAGAGAGGCAAGAAATTATCTATTGTGGCCCATGGGTTTCTGTAAAAGTGCCTTGGGGTGTTTGCTGGAGGCCAGCATGAGACAGCTCTGCAGGAGCAGGGTGAGGGGCTTGCAGCAAACCCCACAGCTGGCTGCTTTGGAAGGGTGTTTATTTTCCCTATTCATGTGGGAATCAAATCTGCTGAGGGGTACAGAGCAGCCACGGGATCACAGCACTAATGACCCAAAGATTTGCACTTCCCCTTAGTGCCAGGTATTTGAACTGGAGCAACCTTTGGCAGTGTGTCTCATGCAGCAACTGCTGTGCTGGGTGACTTCTTCCGTTAGATGGTCAAGGTGGGAAGCTCCTCACTCCTCTCATGACCTCATGGCTTAGTCCCAGGTGAAATTCTTTATTTRCCTGGTTCTTCAAAGCAGCTTCATTTTAACAATGGGTCCTAGAAGCCAACTGTGCCAGCTGTATGATGTTACACAGTGTATGGAGAGCCAGGAGGCTTTGCACAGTGTCATTGAGGAGCTGGGCTCTGTTAGCAGTCAGTTAGCACCTTGTCTCTGTCAGTGGTCAGTGTTCAACGTTCAGCCAGCATCCTGTCCCTGTGCTCAGTGTTCAGCACCCTGTCCCTGGCAGTGGTCAGTGGTCAGTGTTCAACATTCAGCCAGCATCCTGTCCCTGTGCTCAGTGTTCAGCACCCTCTGTCAGTGGTCAGTGTTCAGCACCCTGTCTCTGTCAGTGGTCAGTGTTCAGCACCCTGTCTCTGTCAGTGGTCAGTGGTCAGTGGTCAGTGTTCAGCCAGCATCCTGTCCCTGTGCTCAGTGTTCAGAACCCTGTCTCTGTCAGTGGTCAGTGTTCAGCCAGCATTCTGTCCCTGTGCTCAGTGTTCAGCAGCTTGTCCCTGGCAGTGGTCAGTGGTCAGTGGTCAGTGGTCAGTGGTCAGTGTTCAGCCAGCATCCTGTCCCTGTGCTCAGTGTTCAGCACCCTGTCCCTGGCAGTGGTCAGTGGACAGTGGTCAGTGGTCAGTGTTCAGCCAGCATCCTGTCTATCAGTGTCTCTATCACCTGTCTCTATCAGTGGTCAGTGCTGAATACCCTGTGGGTGGTCAGTGTTCAGCACCCTTGGCACAAGGTGCCACTGTCACTCCTGAGGTACAGAGCCCTTATTCTGTTTTTGTTCATGTCAGAACAGCCTGTTCACATAGAATTTGGGAGATTGCTGGTTTGAGTTTCCCAACACAAATTTATGTCACTTGCATGTAATTTTAAAATTTGTTATATGAAAGGGAGAGAAGCAGAACTGACACAGAAGTTCCAGGTGATTTGGCATCTGGCTGAGATGACAATTCAGCATTCCCAGGAAAAGGTGCAGGCCTGAGCCATGCCAGAGGAGCAGTAGCTCTATTAGAGCAAGCAGGGGAGTCCTGGTTGGAGTAGGTAGAGCTCGTGATGCCAGCCCTGCTTGTTCAGTAGGATCTACCCTAGGAATGGTAGATAACATCCCATTTTTGTTGCCTGTGTCTTAAGCTGGCTCCAGTCTTTCCTGGGAGACACACCAAGAAAAAATCCATTAGAAAATCCATACCGCTTTGGAATATGGACTCCTGGCAGCTGTGCATGGTCAGCCTGTTGCTCCATGTTGTTGTCAAAGGCAGAGAACTCTTTGTCCTTTGAAATATTATAGTTCTTCCCCTTTCTCTGCCTTTTGAGCAGAATAGCAGGATGCTGGCAGGGTGTGCATGTCAGTAGGCATCTGCAGGATAAAGTACAGCTCAGGTCTTTAGTTTCACCTATCTAAAGCCTCTGAAACAACTACGGGTATTGAGGTATTTCAGCTACCCCAAGGCAGGTGTGCCATTCAAAGCAGAGTGTTATTTTAGGAAAAAAGAACTTGAGTGGCATTGCATGAAACAGGGAAGTGGAAAGACCCTGGTACTGCTGGAGAAAAATGTAAAGTAAAAGCAGACTCAAACATGGTGGATTTGAGGGATCTGAGACTTTCAATGATTGACTTAACTGTCTGTATTCTTGGGGTGGTTTGTTACACTCTGTTTGTGCAAACAGAGGGATATAAATGCCATATGGAGACTTCATTCACAGAAATCGTAAACAATTTGCACTTAAAAAACAGTGAGAAACTGAGGTAAAATTAATCAAATTCTTTACAAATCCTTCTCTAAGGAATAACAGTTTCAGACTCAGATACAGGAGGTTKATATCAATCCATTATGTTGATAGTTAAAAGTCAGAAACTTGACTATTGACAAATATTTTAAAAAATAAAGAAAAAAAAAAGTAAAAAAAAGAAGTACATTTCGAGTCTTCAGGCCTATGTCAAGCTAATTTTTAATTATAATTCTCTATTTTTCTTCTTTGAAGAACCAAGATGTTAATCTTGAGAGTGTTACCCAAAATTGTGAGAACCTGTGTATGGAGCCCAGAAGAGAAAAGGAAAGCATCTTCAGGGYGTGTGAGAGTGCAGGAACCATCCAGCTAACTGCAGAAATGTTCTCTGCTGGGAACACACAGCAAGTAAAGAATGCAGATTTGCAGACCTCTGCTCAACACTGTGCTCTTTGTGGAAAGAGAGAAGGTTGTCACCAACAGGTCTTCTCTGGACATGAAATTATTAGTAATGATGAAAAATCAAAGAATGACATTTCCCCTTTTCCTTTATGGGATATGGACTCTGTTCCTGATAAACAGGAATGCTTGTGTGCTGTTCTTTCTTCTGCAAAGCTGTGTGATGAGCCCGGGGAGGGAGAGCAAAGGTCTGGGCTTGACATCCAYGATAGCAGTAACCCAGATATTCTCTGCAGCCTATCAACTGATGAGGCTGTGTCTGAAGCTAATCCCAAATCAGCCCTGGAATCTGGAGAGGCTGGCTGCAAAGGAGATGCTGATATATCTGCAGTGCATGACAAGCTGTGGAAACTTCTTCATGAAGATGACTCAGACTATCAAGTCCCATTTGAAAACAGAGGCATCACAAGTTTAGAAATGAGGCTGACAGATATCAAAGTCACAGAACTAAACATTGTGCAGGAGACCTGTTCTGATCATCCTTTGCCAATGGATTTGATAGAAGAGCAGGAATCCATCACAGAACCAGCKCATAACCCCAGAACTGAGAAAGCTGACTGCAGTGTTTCTGATATCCTCCTGCAGAGAGYTGGAGCATGTGAGAGTACATCCATAGGAAACATTTGTCTTGCACAAGTGGTAGGGACAGATGGTGTGTGTCTAGATTCTAGTGCTGTGAATGAAAGGGAAATGCCAACCATTTGTTTTTCAGCGAACAGTGTCCTTTTAAGTACCCAGGAGTGCTTGGAGCCAAATCCAATGTCCGTGGACAGGAATGGAGTCACTGTGGCTTGGGAAGGGAAGCTTGCTGTTAGTAACGCTTCACAAATGAGTGAAGCAGATTCTCCGCAAAGGTTACAGAATGCTCAGTGTGGTAATTTAGGATGTCCCAAAGCAAACCCAGATTACATGTCAGATATGTCACATGGGACAGCTGGAGAGTTACTTCACACTGAATACCCCATATCCCTGATAAATGAGTCTGTACCTGGAGAAGGCTGTCATTTTAAGGACTGTTATCCAGTGAGAGAAGAACTGATTTATTTCCCTGAAGGGACAGACATTTTCCCCAGTGAAAATACCAGTCAGTTTACACATGCAGAACACTCTTCTGATAACATCATACATAAAAGTTATGAAGTGAATTTACAAGAAAAAGGAATTCACTCAGACTTGAGTGCACCAAATGACACTAATTCTGACAGCTACCATCTTTCAAAAGATAATGGCTGTCAGGATTTTCAWGTTRTTTCTAATGCACAGAAAAACAGTTRTATAATACAATCGCCTACTTTAATTAAGATTCACGAAACCACAACACATAAAAATCTAGCCCAAAATACAGACCAAGTGACAGAAACAGCAAAACAAGAAGGGGCAGTCCCTCCCCCTTCTGGGGAGCCATTTTTAAGGGATTTTTATCTAGAAGTGCCCAGYTGTGAACCATGTAAAGCAGGAGAACAGAGAGAGATTTGCATAGCTGATGAACACGGGGCTGAAAATTCCCATGACTCAGGAGTTAGTCAGCTTTCRGAAAGTCAGACTGCAGCTTCCCCTCATAATACCGCAGAACAACATTTATTTTTCRTTGACAGCACCTTCAAGTCTGATGAGGAGTTAAAAATAGATTCTTTGAAAAATCCCACGTATGCATCTGGAAGTGTAACATCAGCCAGTGCCCCACAGCCCAGGGAGGCTCCAAGTGAGCAGCACAGAACAGCAGTTGGGGAGGATCGAGGTGCTGGGGATCAGCTACATTCCCAACAACTGCCTGGAAACAAAACCCTGCCCTTCCTCACACCACACAGCCACTCAGAGGGCCTTCCCAGTGAATCTGCAGTGATGTGTCCTGGCACAAGAAGTGAGRGAAAAACTGGATCCCTACAAACTGGAGTAAAAGAAAACGGAAATTTAACTACACGGGAAACTTCCTGCAAAGCATTGCARGGGCTGTTCCAGATGGTACCTGGAGAAACCAAAGGGGAAGCAGCCTYGTGTGAAAATGAGCATGAGATTCCAAGAGCCATTGAATATAACACAGATGAAGCTGAAACAAAGACTCCTTTGCACAGTTTAACTGCCTCCCAGGCTCTGAAACACATTATGAATATTAGCACAGAGCAGTCCTCTCCTGACTTGATCCCTTCCAGCAAGATAACTGAGGCTGAGAATTCAATTAAGTGCACTGAGGATGATAAAGAAGAGAAAGTCAGGACAGCAAAGAGTGTAGTAAATTGTTTTGCTAATTTACTACCAGTTGATTCAAGGAACAGCCAGTGTTTTCAAGAGCAACCATCCTGCAGGAGAACTCAGTCATTCTCATTGGCATGGACCTCACATGATCCATTCCCAGTCAACAGAGAAAGTCAAACAAATCAGGACAGGTCAAAATCCTGCCAGATACCACTGGCTACTGCAGAGCCTGAGCCCATCAAATGTAAAGAGGACATAGCAAAGAAYGGGCATTTAGCTGCTGGAGCTAAGAAGAAATTACCACCAGCAACTCTGTCCAAAAAACCCAGACTGGAGGAGAGGGGAGGTGTCAGCAAGGATCCTAGCTGTGTTAAAAAATCTGGGAAGAGCGAGACGGGYGTGATTCATAAAGAGGATAGAAAAGAGCAAAGGAGACTCATTTTGAAAAAGGATAGCAAAGGTAAGAGAAAACAGATATTCTTTTCTGTCTTTTCCCACCATTCTGACTACAGTACAAAATTCAGATTCTTGAAATGCACTGCAAGCCTCCTTTAGTATGACTCAGTCAGCTAAAGGTGTCCTGCCCTCCAGAGCTTTATTTCCAGATTTGTACACTTAGTAATGAGTGCTGTGCCCATGTCACAGGGCTAAACCCTTTTCCCAGCTGGCAAGTATATTCAATTTTTGAACCTTGAAATGAAATGTTAAAATGTCAAAACACTATAATTTTATCTTCAAATGTTAAATGGTGATTCTTCTTTTAAGCTCCCAGGCTGCTGAAGAAGATCCAAGCAGAGTTGTTCCCAGACTGCTCYGGAACTATTAAGCTGTGCTGTCAGTTTGGTGACATTCATGGTGATTCCACTGTTACATGGACTAAAGATTCCAGARTCCTGGCTCAGCTGCAGAGAAGGTAAGTGAATAATTCTGAAGGACCGGGAATTTTTGGGGAACCTTGCTATTCTTAAGAAACAGATCCTGCAGTGCATTGATATTGGTCATAGTTTGTGTTCTATCACCTCTCAACCTGTTCACAGGTAAATTTCAATAAAATATCAAATGAAGTTGGAACCTCATTTAACCTAGAGAAGGGTGGAAATAAAAGCTTCTTAAAACCATTATTAGGATCCAATTTTCCTTAAAATTCCACTTTAGTGAAATGAGTTATTTTTCCAGTAGCAGCAATGACATTCTGATCTTAAAAACTGTTTACAATGTTTAAAAAATAGAAAGTTAGTATTACCCAAAGGAAAAAAAATATTTCCATCAGAATGCACACTTCTGACAAGATAAAGCATTTTGTTGGAAGTGTTCTTCTTAGATGTTCTTTTAAGTAGAGAGAGAAAAGTTGTCTGAATTGGTAAAACTTTCCATGTCATTCTGAGTCTTCTTGTTTAACTCTTCTGATTTCKATTGTTGTATTGCAATATCCATTGTAGTAGTAATACTTATCTGCTAAGCATCTGTGCTGTGTTTTAATAAATAAAAAGTGCAGAGAGATCAAATTTATCATTTTTTCCAGTGATTTTAGGTAAAATATGTGATAGCAAAAATRCTTTGTTCCAGTGCCCAGGATGACTCTCCCGTCTCTCTGGCAATAGCTAAAGCCAGTTCCAACGACCAGGGAATGTATTATTGCTGCTTGAATAACATGTATGGCAAGGTGACTGCTGAGTTTCATCTGACTGCTGCAGGTAAGCCTCAGTTTACAGTTTTGATTAATAATAATGACAATGAGGGTTTCCATTCAGATTTTTTTACTACAAAATTAATTTCTCTGTTTCCTCGTAGTATTGGAACGTCTCTCAAGTTTTCAGAGTTATGAAGGTAAATATTAAGTGAAGTAGCAATGCATGGCATCATACAGAGAAGCACACACACACAGAGCCCTGGAAGCTCTTTGGCACAAACACATGGTGCTTGCAAGTCACCTGCTGTGTAACTGTACTCGAGGAGAAAGCCAGACATGAAGCTTTGGAATGCTTTCCCTGTGTGTTAACTGGTGTTCAGTGACACCCAACATGAGTCCTGTGCTGCAGCTAAAGATAGTGCCTTGCCAATGGGCTTGTCATTGCTGAACAGCCTGCAGAGATCCAGGCCTTCAGCTGGCATAGGGACTTTTCTTTCTTTTCCTTGAAGAATTAAAATTAGGCATTTCTTTCCTTGAGCAAATAAAGACAGGAATTTTCATGTAACAGCACTTTATAACTTTTGATCAGAGAATTTTAGGTGTAATTAAGGAGKATTCTAATTCTGGCCTTATTTGTGCAGTGTTTCCTCTGTGCTTCAAATAGAGCCAGTAGTGTACAGAGTCTAAACCAGAGGTAACTGCAAAAGGCAGCTGGAAGGACTTGCTTGTTATGTGGTTCTGTTTTCCTATTTGCCTTCTTCACTGACGGTCCTTGAAATGTCACAGACACTTGAAGTACAGTTGGAACTTTTTAAGTTTCCCTCTGATTTTTTCCCCTTGTGAATTTTTCTCTTTTTGGATTCCAATGATCATTTAAAAGGATCCAGTGAAATCCAGTATCTTCCTTGATTCAATCTGTAAAAGGCTTGTTTTCTACACTCGGTCTTCTCTCCTTATGATCCTGAGCTGCCACCTTTCCCCATGCTGGCTGTAGATCGTACAGGCAGGCAGCTGCCTCTCAAGGAGCAGGGTCCCAGCCCTCAGGAACATAAGTCAGGCCACGTGTTCTGCTTCCATTGAGTATTTTTTCCTCCTCTCTCTGGAGACATGCTCCTGTCTCTGTGCCTGCAGAGATTCCTGTTGTGTTTTAGGTGTGGAAGAAATCGAATTCATGCAGCTGATGTTCAGAGAAGATCCCCTCAGCTCCAGCTACTTTGGTGGGACACTGCATGGAGCAATAACAACCGAGGAGCTGCACTTTGGTGAGGGGATGCACCGCAGAGCCTTCCGCAGCCGCGTCCTGCAGGGCTTGGCRCCTGCCTTCGCCCCGGGGCACCCCTGTGTGCTCAAGGTGCACAATGCCCTCACCTACAGCACCAAGAGCAGGGACGAGCTGCTGCAGAAGAACTACAGTCTGGCACTGCAGGTGAGCTGGCCCTGGCCTTTGCAAGCCACGGTGTGGGCTCCAACATGTCAAACATATGGCCTCAAACATATTCAAACATATGATCTGWTGAATATTTTGAGCAATATTCCCATAGACATGTCTGTTGTAATGCAGGAATGCTACGTCCAAAATACTGCAAGAGAGTATGCAAAGTTGTATGCAGCTGAAGCTGAACCCTTGGAAGGCTTTGGAGAAGTACCAGAGTGAGTATATATATATATATATATATATATGTATATATTTGATATACCTATGTGCTTATATATACTGTCCTGTGCCATGGCAGCCCACTGACGGCTAGGACTAAAGAGGAAAGAGGAAACCTGGGAACAGTGTTACAGTTCTCCCATTCATTCCTCAGAATCACTGGCCACTCTTGACTGTTTCTTACTCCCTCACTGAAAGAACTCTCAGGATTTTATTAGTTTCTATCCCTTGATTTCAGAATCATTCCGATTTTTCTTATTCATCGCCCTGCTAATAACATCCCCTATGCTACAGTGGAGGAGGAGCTGGTTGGGGAGTTTGTGAAATACTCTGTCAAGGACGGCAAGGAAGTGAATTTCCTGAGAAGAGACTCAGAGGCTGGCCAGAAGTGTTGCACCTTCCAGCACTGGGTGTATGAGAAGACCAATGGGAACTTGCTTGTCACTGACCTGCAAGGTGAGTTGTCTGAGTAGGGGCAATTTTTATCTAGCTTATGTTCTTGTAAGGGAAAAGAAAACCAAATCTTATACTCTTAGTGGAAGTCTTGTTCTTTCACATGTACCTTAGTACACTCAAATCTGGCTTTTTGTCTCACTACCCAGGGATTAATGAAATGGCTGCTAAGTGAAAAATTTCAGGTGTTAACGGCACCCTACTCCTCCCCTTTTTCTTGTATTTAAACACTCACCAACAATCACTCAGCAGTAGAATGTTCCACATTTAGGCCCTGGCTAGTTTTGAAGAAATATATTCCTTCAAAAAGAAGCAAGCACCCTTGTGATTGCTAAGTGTSGCCTCAGCTCCCATGGGTGTGACTCCTTCTCAGTCCTGCAATATAGYTGGGACAGGGGAAGACAGACCCTTCTTGAAGAAAAATAGAAAAAGCTGGAATGTTAGGAAACATCCTATATTCCTTTACAAGTGAAGCCAGGAAAATTTGAAACAAGGCATCTAAACAAGATCCGTGAAGTCATTTGAAGGGAGAAGAAAGAACAAAATCCTAGCACAGGAAACAAGCTGTGCTCTGTTTATCACCCTGACAGCTGTAAAATAGTGGTATGAGCCTGACTTCTAGAAACTGCTGGTGACACAGAGAACATCCTATTCTTAACTGTGAYACTTTAAAATGCTTTGAAAAGAAAGTGACAAATAATTAAAATGAAAAAGGTAACTCAATAAATAAMATTTAGTGAAGATTGTCCTAAAAATTCCAGTGTAACCTAAGCTCTATGTTTTCTTGCTGCCATGCAGGTGTAGGGATGAAGTTAACGGATGTKGGCATAGCAACCCTGGCCAAAGGGTGAGTGAACCTAATTCCTCAGCAGCATGGCTGTGCTTTGCACCTCTGTCTCTTCACAATTAAATGTGGGTGGGGCAGGGTGCACTGGAAGTTCATTCTTGCTTTAACTTAAAAAAAAACAGTCCTCAACTGGGTCTTTTAACTGTTTTCTGTTCGTATTAATGGAAACCCACCTGTAATAGAAATATATTTATTTTGTTCTGAAAGAATGGGGCTACCCTGTAATTGAGCTTTGCTTTTCATGCACACCTCCCTTGAAATGGGTTTGTCCAAAGGGCACTTCACAAGTGACATGAAGAGCAGGTAAGGTCCTGGTGGTCCACCAGCTGGAGGAAGGTAGGGCTGAACACACAGGGCTAGCAGTGGCTGCAGCCCAGGGTACACAACAAGCTGGAATCCCTTCTCCAGCCAGCAAAAGTGCCAGAGCTTTGGRGTATGTATTTGTGACACAAGCTTTTACAAAGACTCTTCTCAGTGTGATGCTTTGTATTGGCCGCATCCCTGATAAACAAGGAAAATTCCAAAGGGATTTGATGGTATCTTTCCCCTTTTTCTCTCAAAAACAGCAATTTGGAGCCTGAGCAAAAGSTTGTTCAGGGCATTTCTAGGGGCCTGTTTCCTAGTGGTGTTGCAATGGCTTCAGCTCTTTTGGGGAGACTTAAGCATATGTGTAAAGATGTAGGCCTGTAATATTCTAACTTTAGTCCACTTCTCTGAAGTTAATTAAGGCTTCTAGTTACACCACAGGCCACCAGAGCCATGGATAGGAGTAGACAGTGGCTGCTGGACAGGGAAAAGGGATGGGGGTAAGTGCCTGTGACCAGTGCTTTAACTTCATATTCTCCTTTGAGAATCTGGCAGGAGAAWGATCTGATCACGTATTCAGCCTTTATTCTAAACTGAAGCTTTTCTGTATACCTGTGGTACGAGAAAGAGCCTCACAATGTCATCTAAATTATTACAAATGTGACTCTAGAATATTCTGGGGAAGTCCTTAACATTTGCAGGCTGGCATCCATTCAAAATTTAGACTGATTTACTCTTTCAGCCATAGATCCAAAGTAAAAGCAGTTGAAATGAATGCACATCATCCTATTACAWGCCAAAGAAGTCATAAATGCTTTATGTAGGAACATTGTTCTCAGGAATCAGAGGATTTATAAAAATGCTTTAGTGAATGCCATCCAGCTCACTGTGAGAAATGAGTCCTATGAAATCACACATTGTGTTGGGGAGGAGGAAGGTGAAGTRAGGAAGTGAACACACAATGCAAGCTGTAGTAAGGATCACCTCAKGTGTATAGAAAGGATAATACTTTCCCCAAATGAACAACCTCCTGAAAATGGTATCACTGTTTGTTATTTAGCTAATGGTATTCCTGAAAGATGACAGATTTTTTCTGATTCTGTATTTGGTTTCCATGCTCCTTTCCAGGAATGAGGAGCTCTGAATTAATGTCTACCGTTGGATTTTTAATTCCATGAATGTGGATGGGAAAAAACGAAGTGCCCAGAGCTCCTCTGTGTTGCTGGGTCTTGCCACCTTGGGCAGTGTTGATCTGTGCTGCTGAGAGCTGGCCTGGTGCCATGAGGGGAGAACTCATGGTCTTACTGAGCCAGAAATGCTGAGTGGGACTGGTGTGGCTTGAGCTGTGCTGGCACAGAGGCCACAGAACTGATTCGTTCTGTACTCCTGAACACAGTCCATAAAGAGTGGAGGAAGGAACTCTGATCTTTTGTCCTTGCTCGGTGTTTTTTGCCAGGAAACTGCGAAACAGGGGAGCCCAAAGCAGAGCCGTGTGGTCAGTGGGCTGCAGGAGCTCCAGTGCAGTTCTGGTCAGGAGAGGGCGAAGCAGGCCTAGGAATAGGAACGCCAGGGAAGCATTTTAATGTGGCCGCAGCACCGCACCAGAATCAGGCAAAGGAGCCTAAAAATCAGCTACTCTGTAGCTTCTCTGGCAAATGGAAACACAAATACCACAGYTCAGTGCCTGGCTCTGTGCACGCAGTGAGCAGAGTAGAGCTGTGCACGATGGCACCCGGATTTGTCCAGGAATGGTGCACACAAAGGAAGGAATCAGAAGCACGGTGACCCATGGTTATAATTATTAACAAGAGTGTTGGTTGCCCTGTCTAAATCTGAAACTCTACCTGGTTCCAAACTTTCCATTTGTTTCCAAGTTTAGTTTTATYCCATATGGTAACAAGAGGCTCTTTTTCCTTCATTGAGCAGCCACCATGGGTAGAAGAGACTTGCTTAATGTTTTCAAGTWGCTTATGAGTCAGCAGTCCTACTCTGCCTCCCTGTGCTGAAAATGAATCTTGAAGTCCCATTTGGCTTTTTTTCTTTGTTGCTACAGATACAAGGGGTTTAAAGGCAACTGCTCCTTTTCCTTCATTGAGCAGTTCAGAGCCCTCCACCAATGCAATGAGTACTGTGAGATGCTGGGGCTGAAATCTCTCCGAACCACTCATCAAAAACAGAGGAAAGCAACATCCACAAAAAGCAAAAATCTGCCAAGCTCATCAACAGTAAAGAAAATGATGCCCAAGAAGGCAAGAGAACCTAGAGACTTCATTTCTTCAGAGCACTGAGTTGCACTGTCCCACCTTGTGACCTGCTCTTGAGGACATGGAGCAGTGACCGGCACCAGTGACCTGGGGAATAACTTTGGTCTTTTGGTCTTGTGATGTTTTGGAATCATCCTGATGCTGACGCCAGCAACAAAGGAAGGAGCTGATCCTGTGCTGTTGGTGCCTGAGATTTAACACTGGGGCAAGGTTCTGGAGACAAAGCCATCTCCTGGATTTTCTACAGCTCTTCTGCGGGCTGGTATTGGAGAAGAAGAATATCTTCTCTGTGTCTACATCCGTGGCCCTGTGGGTTCAGCTGCTATGGAAACATCAAGATATTTAAGATGCTACTTAGTACAAGTAGCARCTCAGGCTGCTATAGAAAAATAGTTTTCTTTCTCAGATTTTTGGATATTGTAATCCTATTATAATCCTACCCTTGTAATTCTTTTCTCCCACTTACATGTCTTGTATTAAAAGACAAAGCCATTCATGATTGGACATACATGTCTTCCGATCTGGCCCCAATTCAGCATCTTTATGGTCCACACAAAGWGATACCATCAGCTTAAAGATGGGCACCTTGTGTGATTCTCCGTAAAATTCCTTGCTTTGCATGCGAGCTTCYTTGAACCTACACCCCCATATTTTAGTACTGTTGTGCTGGCACTGATGCCGTTGAAGGACAGATTTGGGATCTGCATGTGGCCAAACAGGTCCCTCTGCAATAACCCATTCCATGGAGGAGATTTCAGCATGTGGCAGCAGATTCAGAAACAGTAAGAACAGGGACAGAAACCCACCTGATTGCCATGTTCGTGTCACATCCAGGCTGGGCATCCTGGCCTCCCTGCACARTGAAGGGAGCTCTTCCCTATGGAACTGAGAGCAAAATGCGGCTCAGCTGAAACCCAAACATTTGAAATAGGTTGGATTTRCTGTGTAACAAGTGTCTGTGCCTGTCCATTGAGGGCAAAGGAGGCAGGCTTAGGCAAACATCTGCAGTTTAAATTCCTGCTGTGACACGGGACAAAGTTCTCTGGAGTGCTTCCAAAGCACTTGGGATTTTAGTAGTTCTCTGCTCCCTGAGGTGCAGGAGACCAATTACTGCAGAACTAAGTCTTGGTGTGAAGTTCTTCAGATGGGAGAAATGGATCATTTTACTTATTCCTTCACAGATTTTAGTGCTTTAAAAACCACTGAGCTGTAGTGGTGATATTTTTCCACCGCTTCCATTGCAGGTCAGAGCACAACATCCTTTGAGCCTAAATCTTGGACTATTCCATGGGATTTAGGCTCCTCAGTGCACTGCTTTCATTAGGCCTTTGGRAGTTCCTACAGATGATGCCTATTTTTTACAATAGTTTTCAGAAGAAGTTCTGTGAGGAAATTGTGACCATTCCAAAAACAGGGGGTTTAGACCATAAGGCAAGGGGTTTGAGCCTGGTGGGACAGGAGCAAAGCTAAAAGCATTGGATAAAAGGTGTTTCAAGTTAGAGGCAATAGATTTTTATTAGAATTTTGGGAATGTTCTGTTTGAAAAATGTCATGAGCATCTCAGCCAATTAATATTCCAAACGTATATTGTAGTTTGGTGCCAAAGTCAGAGATGGAGTTTCACTCCATCGGCTAATTGCCTTCAGTTTTATCATCCTGGTTAGTTCAATGGGAAAAATCACAGGCTGACCTCTCAGGGGTGAACACAACCCCATTAATGCCAAGGAAATCCACATTCCTAGTAATGACATTATAGTGATGATTCCTTAAGATGTTTGGTGTGCTTTACAATGGGGATCTGGAATTGCATGTGTCAGAGTGTGGATTTCCCACGTATTATGGTGCTTTTGCCCCTAAATGAAGGAGCAGTCATCCTGCTGTACGTGTAGCATGGTTGTTTATTCCTCAGCACGGTGGGAAGAGGTACTGCCAGAGGTCCCAAACCTTCCATACCTGGTGCTTTGTCTGCCAGGAACTATTTAGTGTGATAATGGCGTTTGATAGACAGGACACAAACACCATTGTCACACTCCACAGCTCTGGGAGCAGGTCTTTAGCCCATGGAAGSAGTGATGGATGCACATTTTATATTCAGCAGAGAGGGTTTCCAAGACCTGCAAAACAGAGATGAGACCATGTTTGTGCATGTTTATATGCTGCACATCAGGATCCTGACAAAGAAGCRGGACACAGGATCCTGAATGTTCTCAGCTAGATGTAGGAATGCAAAAGCTAAGTGGCTTTGAGTGCCCTTACAGGCCAGGGAGACAGACAGGACCTGGAGAAAGTCATCTCTACTGTTCTAGAGACAAATTCCTGAGGAGAGGGATGAGTCATTCCTGCAAGGATCTKTGTCTTCCTCTTATTGATGGAGACAGCCCAGAATCAGCACCAGACTTTTGTCAGAGCTGAGGATTCACGATGCTGAAGATTATACTGGATTTTCATATACTTGGTTTTAGAAGTATTTTTGAGTAGCCCACATACAAGGCAGCCAAATTGSTCTGTACTCCTGGTCCCACTGCCCCTGTGCTATTTCATGCATGTTGTGGCACACATCAGCACCTGTGTATCAGGGAATTTAGCTCTAGCATCCAGAGCTGTGGCTGTCATCTCTGTACAGGCTGGGTGTTTCAGAGTGTTTARTCTGCCAACCAAATCATATTTCTGCACACTCTCAATGAGTAGAAAACATCCCACAAAAGATCCTACAGATTAAGGAGTGGACTAAGAGCACACAAATGTGTTGCACAGTGATTTATTATCCATGGAAATTCAGTTACWTGCCATCATCTGAATGCTGCAGAGAGGCAGAAAGAACAGAGAAAGAGGAGCACATGGAAGGGAGGAGGTTAGAAACCATGGTTGGAGTGAATAGCAATAGTGTTTGTTTTTTTTACCTACTGAAAACTTGAGTTTTCTGGCTCAAAAGAGAATCCTCTGTTGACTGGTTAGAAGCCCCTTGGGAGGGGATGCAGTTGTCTTTTTGTGCCAAGAGGTGAGAATGGGATGTCTTGCTGATAGGACAGGCAGTTTATAGTCCCACAGCTAYGTGGAAGTTCCAGCAAATCATTAGSAATATTTCCAAGACAAAAGATAATGAAAGAAAGAGAAATGGCCATTAATTTTTAGTATTGCAATGGAAAAAAATCCCCAAAATAATGGGAAAGTTACAGGTCGGTACAGGGAGAAAGCAAAGTGTATGAGAGAAAAATCCCCTTTTTGCTTTTCTTCTGCTGGATATCCGTGTAAAGAACATTATCAAAATGTTCCAACACAGAGGAGCATTGTGAAGAACAAGAGAGTTTTCAAGAGAGTTTTCAAGAGGGTTTTTTGAGATGGATCACAGAGCTGTCCTTCCCATATATCCAGACCTGGACGCATTCCTGCTCCCCCAGGAGGTCTTTCAGCTTCCCCATCACCCCACTATTTTAAATAATAAACATTCACGGTGGCTTGTACTGCCCTAACTAAAGSCCAATTTCTTTCCAAGTGCAGGCAGAGGTCCCTAGACATTGAATCCTGTTAAATTACACAGTTGAGCTTTGGGCACATGTGGATATTTTGCTATGCTGAAGTGCTCARTGTTGGAAATCCACCTGCACTATTTTATCTTTGTTAATACCTTTCAGCATTTCCTTTTCCTCATATGAATTGAGCACAGGAAGGCACTTACCATCGCAGACAACAGCCAAAGGATCCTCTGCTGTGTTGTTAGGGCTTGGCAGAACAGCATTCTCTYGCAGGACATTTTTCTCACTGTCTGTACTCACATCTTTGGAGTCTTGGTTTTCTTTTCTGAGTTCCCAGCAGTGGGCAGCTGCTGCAAGCCTCTGCTTCCAGTGGACACCTTTCTCTCTCCCTTTATGGGATCCTGAGGTTTTAAAGTAAACAATTAATTCTTGTTCTGATAAGTCATATTAAAATATTGATCTGGGGGAGGGAGTTGACCCTCGCTGCACTGAGCCAAAGTCACCTTTAGTCAGACTAMAGAATGGAAAAAAAGCTCTGAGACCTCAGTTTTCTCTGTTCCTTCAGAGAGGGCACATGTGGGGAGGGAAAAATGCAAAAGATAAGGGGCTTCAGCTCCATGTTTTGCTGAACCCTGAGATGAAGAGTGTTTGCTCTGGCTGCATATTAATTGCTTACTCCTCAAGTCACAGTGCTCATCTCATGTTCACTGCTGGGGCTTGCCAATCTTTTTTCTTTATAAATTTTGATGTACTGGCTGCTGTCTGTGGAAATTTTCAGATTTTACTTTACTTCCAGCACACCTAGGAGGTGGGGAGAAAAGCCTGGCTTTAGCTGAGCCTGTCAGAACACCACTGGCAAACCCAGAAATTGCACACACACCCCAGGACCTCATTCAATAATGAGACCATTGCATAAACCTCCACATTTAGGACCTGATGAATTCCACTTTTTTTTTTTTTTTTTTTTTTTTTTTTTTTTTTTTTNTTTTTTTTTTTTTTTTTTTTTTAATGAAGGCTAATACTCCATTTGAATCTGAGATTTTCTTGGAACATAAAATAAAGTCTCATCTTGGGTATGAGAACCTTTACTAGTTAATTAACAGGTATTTCATTGCTTATTTCCATTACCATACTTCTGTTCCTTTAGAACATTTAGGAACAGTCTGAAGTAATAGTGTGGGCAGTTAGGAAGCAACGTTTTCAATATAACACTTCACTAAAGTGAGGAACCAGGTCACTTTACTGATTTTGGCTGGATGTGTCCATCCAGAAGCAGAAAASCCCTATGAAATCAAATCTGGAACASATTTTGTGTCTTGCCCTCTCCTCTTTATACCCTCGTTGTTACCAGCTGATGACACGGCTTTTTTGCTCTAGGCTGTCTTGGACTGCAAATCTGTCGTGGCAAAAATAATCTACTGTTTCCAAAAACACTGATTTCTAATAGCAGTCCTGTGATGTAAATAGTAATTCTTCATTTGGGACTGGTGGACACACACARTGTAAAGATGATAGAAACACTACTAGTGTTTCTACTGCTAATTTCTACTACTAATACTAGAATCTGCCCTAGTAGTAGAACAAGGTTGGGGAAAATAGGTATCTAAAACTTACCTTTACAATTATATCAGCATCCTGAGTGCAAACTCTTATGCTACTCTGAAAGTATGGATGTGCATTTGAAGTCTACAGAAGGTATCTGACAATTTGCTTTATCAGAAAAAGAGGAAAAAAATACCTCAGATTAAAAAAAAACCAAAAAAACCCAAAACCAAAAAGCCATATGTTGTCCAAAAAGAGCAAAGAAACACTAAAATGTGCTACTTTTAATAACAGTGGAAACACCACTTACTTGGTRTTTGTGGGGTTGTGTTTCTAGGGAATAAAAAAACAGTTTCCCTCAAAATGGGGCTCTGCAACTGTAGGTGAAGCATTTGTCACTCCACACAGAGCATGGGGAAAGTCTGGAACTGCATTGCAACATCGAGTACTGCTGCAGACTGGTTGGGGTCCAGTTCTCTGAAATTAGATGCCAAAGTATTTGGAAATTCCTGGAAAAAAGAAAAGGAACTGGTTTGTTTAAATGTTGCTAAAGGTGACAYAGGGACAGATAATGCAAACATACATTGCACATGCACCTGAGGGCCAGARTTTTCCCCTAGAAATATGCAGCCAGAACTCCAAGCAAAATCATCTGACTTTGAAGTCCAGTCTAACTTTGAGGCTGGCACTGCTCAGAGCAGAGGACTGAGTCCTGTGATCTCCAGAAATCCCTTCCAGCCTAAATTAATCTCTGCTTCCATTTTATATGCTCCTGGTGAGTAAGGTGTCACTAGACACAGTATACTATTTGATCCACACAAAACTTCTTTCCCTCATTTTTCCTGTATAGATGAGTGAAATGGAAATCAGAGGGATGGTGTCTTTTCTGTGTGGAAACAGTGGAAGAACAGCTTCAAAATGGAAGGAATAACCACAGGGGCAAAAACCTGAGCCATATCTTTGTGGCTTTACTCCAGCACATGATCAATACTCTTCAGCTGATTTGGGGCTTTCATCCATGGAAAAATCCTGTCATGGTCCCACCAGCCATGGTCCATGGCTCCCTTCCAGACAAATCTGGGTCAAAGATTTAGGCCAGACTCTTTTGTGGAGAAAAATGACACATATCCAACAGTTGAACTGAATTCCTTTGCTTTCCTAATGTCAGTGAGTCTGTGCTGACTCACAGGGGTTTGGGATATGGCCATATAGTTTTTGAGAGGACATTGCTACAGGAATTCTTGGGCTTTACTAGAGKAGACAAAGGCGATGTTCATCAGGTTATCCCAGAGAACTGCAGCATTCACGGGACACATTTACCATGATCTCATGAACAGAGGTGATGACTGTGAGTGCCGGGCCAGCTTAGAGCCCAGAGGAGAAATGCTGTGACCCTTGTCAGTTGATGGCCACTGGTTAAAGATTACCTGTGCTGGTCACTCCAACTTCTGGGTAGAGAAAGATTAACTCAGAGCAGCAGAAAGTTGAGCAAAGGTCTTTAACCTGGAAACCACGATCTCTGCTKATTTCTGCTGGGGCTCAATAAACGGAATTGATTTAAGTGTCCCAATCATCAAACTCATTACATCAGTTCTGGATMATGCTGGCATTTCCTGTATCCATTCACTCTCTGACAGAGAATCCAGGTCGGGGATTATCTTCATATTGGGGGAGTAAGGTCTGGCTGACAAATGTACCCTTTGTGACTTTGCTGCTTCCAGCAAAATCCAGCTAAATAGTTTTGGGCAGAATTTAAGCAATTTTGCTGTAAGCAAAACACATAAAACTTGTATTTACCAGACCCTCAGGAATCCTCCAGGATTCCTGCTGGCTCTGCAGACAGGCGTGCTGGGCATACCAGGGTGTCAGGGATGCCCKGGGTGGGTTTGAGGGGAGCACCTCCAGCTCTGTTAGTGCCCCCTGAGCTGCACCTGAACCAGCAGACAGGGCACAATGTGBGGCTCGGATGCACATGAAGATAAGCAACTTTATTTAATTTTTGTATCTGCAAGTAAAAAAGAACTGTTTAAATCCACTTCTTAGAACTTGAAGAGACTTTGGTGACCTGAACAGTGTCAGTCCCTAGCACAGTCTGTGCCCAGGCCTGAGGGTGACTCTGCTGAGGGACCTGTGCCCTGTCCCTCCAAGAGCCCAGCCCTGGCACCAAGGCCTGGGGAGGTCTAAAGCAGA